TTCCTTTGCTCCCTATCTTGATGTACTAGTATGAAGGGTAGGAATCTTGCATAATCATCAATGTTGTTCCCGATGTCGCTCATCCTTTGATTGAGCTGTTGTGGTTGTTGCATCTTGCATGCTCAAAGCTTACTGAGTGAACGCCGCGCGAGGACACGTGTAAACACGACCTGATCGACGCGTTTACACGTGCCTCCGTGCGTCGAATCGCCCATTCCAGAAGGGATCATTGATTGCGGGAACACTGCTTGATTGAATACGGCCACCCGGGGCCTGCGACGGAGCAATCAACCCGAGCAAACACGTGTAAGCGAGATTTGATCCGTGCGGCTCGCACGTGTTCGCGCGCGGTGATCGCAATGCACATGAATCTCGCCGCTCTAACAATGACACGATGACACGCTCTGAGAGCTCAGAGTCGTTGTTGTACGACCCGGACTACTTCACCCTTTGGATAGCGGAATGCCTCCTACAGAGATTCCCTTGCCTAACGGAGAATCGACTGTGTCCTAGGGAGTTTCACTGCGCCACATCTAGCGACCCCCGGTGCTCTGATTTCCCCAATCAGGATCACACCCACTACTTCACCCACTCCGGATTTGTCGTTATCTCTACTAGCTTCCCTCCTTTCCGTCTTGTTCTTCCGTATCATCGGCTCAGCGTCGTCCCGTGGCCGACCATAGCCCCATACTGGCCTAGCACGCCCTGCGGAAATTGCAGACGATGCGGCGAACAGGGAGCCCCAGAAGCTCGAAGGCCTAACCAGAACGCGCGGCGACCTGCGCCACGTGGCCACTTTCGACGGACAGACTCATCTGGACCTCACCCACCCCGGAGGGACCTTTTGACGAATCGCCGCCCTCAGAACCGGTGGATCGCACGGCCTTGAATAATTTGCGCATGCCATCTGCCCTATGACCAGAAGTGGTCCGCCCTCTTTACCCAAATTGCACTCGTGCCCCCGAAAAACTCTGCCACAGGAGATCTCAGTTTTGACGTGGGACTCGACCCCCACTTTCCCAAAAATCCTTGGCACACCCCTTTTTCGCACTTGCAGGCCCACACTCTATTCCGATCAGGAAGTCGTGTTGGGCGTGAGGTTGGGCGTCACAACCCTATGGGAGAAATGAGTGTCGGGCGTTTATAAATAAACACCGGCTGGGGAAACCATTGGCTGTGATCGTCGTCCTGCTGCGACGTAAAATAATTTCCGATGACACTTGGGGGGCGGTCGTTAAATTGCCTCTGGATCAGCCAATTGGTGTAAGGCTCGCTGCACGCGAGGATAAACACAGTGCAGGGCTGGCCAGCTCAACAACTACTCGGGGCACATGGGTGGGCCGTGTGCACACCTTTAGTCACGCACGCCAAAGCGGATTGCTCAGGGACGCTGACGTCAAGTGACAATCAAGGGGAATTGGGGAAGGGGTAGATTCCAGTTGATAAGTTTGAGCAAGATCCCATGTTTCAAACAGACCCAACAGATGATGTTATTTTTATTTTGATTAGTTAGATGTACTGCCATTGACATCTGACAGACAATATAGTTTAGAACTGATTCTATTCATTGTGCTTTCTGTTTGCGAGTTAGTCAAAGTTGAATAGTCTCATTTGTAGGAATCTGAACTTACCTATTGATCCCAAATGTATCTACTCTGAAAAAATCACCAATTAATTAGTTATTTATTTTAAATTGGTCTGGGCATTACGCTGTGGTAGGCACCTAGAGTAACCCAATGCAGATTGTGCTCAGTTCTGTAGCTTATGAGCGAGAGGGAAGAACAACAACCGGACGACCGGCTCTTGTGATCGGCTAGACGCACGGTTGCCCATTTGGAATTAGGACCAGAGGGCGACAGACATCTGTTCCGCCAGTTTAGGGAAAGGCAGCAGCAGTAGAGGAGAGCTAGAGCAGCAGAGGCTAGCATGGAGCTCGTTAGTGAAGCCACAACTTCGGTAGCCATGGCCACTTCTGCACAGCAGACTTCTCAGTCTGGTAGTTCAGGATCTGTAGGGTCAACGGTCGGGCAAACCCAGAGTCAGTCCGCTGGCGTTATGGCAAGTCAGCCATTGGTGTTGTCACCCGAGGAGATCGCCATACAGTAGGCTACCCTGCACGAGGCACAACTACAGAAGGCTTTAGGAGAGATTAAGGCAGAGAAAGAGAGAATGATTAGGAGAAGAGCCAGGTTGCAGCAGCGACAAGCGGACATTAGTGGGTTAGAGGAGATGGACCTAGCGGAGTTGGATGATCCGTTGAGGGCCCTGAGGTCGGTCTTGTTAGGAGTAGTAGAGATGCAAGACCAGCAGACGACTATCTTGCAGGACATCCAGCAGAGTCTGGCCGTCTTGGTCGGACGAGCGCATGCGGCACCATCACCGTCCGGGCCTAGTGCCTGGGCCGTTGTACATCCTCCTCCTTTTGTTCCACCGGTAACTGGGGTATCCCCATATACCGCTCCAGTATCGGTTCAGCCTGTCTCCCTGGGAATACCGTTAACAAGTGGGCTTTCAGCAGGTCCTAGTTTACAGGTTCCTGTACACCGCAGGTTGCAGTAAGTGTGCAGCCTACTGTCTCGCGGCCTGCACAGCCGCAGGGTACACATCCCCAGCAGTCAGTGCAGCAGCCTGCACCACTGGGTCCACAACCCGGAGTGATGAAGGGACCGGGATAAAGTCAGTGGGTACAAACGACGGCCATCGCCGCTCCTAAACCCTTCACAGGGGATAAGAGGGGCGAAGACCTCGACACTTGGTTGATGGCAGTGCCAATTTATGTCAAGTGCAAACTTACCTTGCCGCACTCGGAAGTGCTTGTGGCTGCCTCCTATTTAGAGGGGAGTGCAGCGCGATGGTTGAGTGGTTTAGTGCAGCTACAGGGGTACGGTCATGACTTTCGCGTTTGGGCGGTCACCCAGAAATTGGATGACTTTCTCAAGTTGGTGGAAGATAGGTGGCACGATCCTCAGGAGGCCCAAAAAGCCACTGACGTGATCCTGGCACTGCACACGAGGCAGTTCAAGTCAGTAAGGGAGGCCACTGACGCTGTGGAGCGTCTGATCTGTGTCCCTGGGGTTCGCTATGACCCCCAGGTATTACTCACCTCCTACCTGAGATGCTTTCCCATGCCTCTCAGGAATCAGTTGGCAGGTGAGGCCAACATCAATATGCTTAACTTTCCCTCGTTCAGCAAGAAGGCCTTAGACCTAGAAGCAAAGATAGTGCATGGACATAACCCCACGACGGATGGTAGGAAGAAGACACTGCCTCCCAACTGGAAGGCGAAGGTTCGCATTATGTTTGTCGATAACGATGGTTCAACCATCGAGTTAGATGGCAACTTTCAGGAGGGAGTAGGTTCAGAGACTGGCAGCGTAGATTCTTCAGGGGGTGGAGTAGTCGCTGCTGTAGCACAAAAAGGTAAGGCGACCGAAAGATGCCGTGGAGGTTCCCGGTCAAGGAGTTAAGTTGACCCCAATGCTCCTCCATGGGAGAAAGCGGGTTTAACTCAGAACGTGTGGAGAGATCGGTACACACGGCATGCTTGTATCCGTTGTGGCCAATATTGCCATAACCAATTCAAGTGTTGAAACAAGAAGGTGACTGAGAAGATCCCACCTACAATGGGGCAGGCGTTGGGATCCTCCGCTCCCGTTGGTAGCAATGTGGCTAGCACTTCTGGCACTGCTGCGGGAAACACGTCGGGCCAGTAGGAATAGTAGTTGTGCCTGCTAGGGTCGAGGTGGTGGACACACCCTCACCAGCTCGAGAGATGGCCCAAGCTGATGACTCCATCGTCGTCCCGCAAACACATTCAGACCCATCGAGCCTCTGTTCGATGAATGTGTTTGAGTCCTTAGAGGAGCTAGAGGAGGAGTGGTCTAGAACAGATCCGCTAACTTCTTGGACGACATTGGTCAAAGCCCCTAAGGGTGGGAGGCTGTCTCTTATACACATCTAGATGTGTATAAGAGACAGCACCCTCACCAGCTCGAGAGATGGCCCAAGCTGATGACTCCATCGTCGTCCCGCAAACACATTCAGACCCATCGAGCCTCTGTTCGATGAATGTGTTTGAGTCCTTAGAGGAGCTAGAGGAGGAGTGGTCTAGAACAGATCCGCTAACTTCTTGGACGACATTGGTCAAAGCCCCTAAGGGTGAGATGTTCATCAGTGAGGTAGTCATCTACGGCTACAAGGTAGGGCCCTATTATGACACTTACTCGACACGAAATTTCATTAGTCGCGCGTGCGTTGAGAGGCTGTGCTTACAGGGGCAAGTGCAGCGCCTGAGTCGACCTGTGCCAACAAACAGCGTATGGTAGTCAACGACTACCTCCACGATGTTAAGTGTTGTTTTCCGGGAACTGAGACATCGTGTCTCATTCCTAGTGAGCGATGAACTCCCCGTGGATATATTGTTAGGTATGTACTACCTCTCTGTGGCACAACCCTAGTTTGACTGGGACCGAAAAGTGGTCAAACACACTTTGCCAGGTGGAGGGACCGCCATATTAGATAAGTTCAAAGCTACTAGTCTGATTGAGTCCCATGGATGCATGTGTGCGGCCGCGTTTTATAATTACTATAAGCAAAATCATGAGGAGGGTATGTATCTAGTTTATGTCTTTGCTGCAGGCGAGCCGGTGAAAATGCCGCCGGAGATAGAGGGAGTAGTTGCTAAATACCCTGATCTATGTGAAGAGCCGACAGGGGTGAGAGGGAGGTCGTCCACGCGATAAAGATTATCCCAGGGTCTAGCATCCCAAAGGGTAGGATCTATCGGATGTCTCCAGGCGAGCTTGACGAGCTTTGCCGGCATCTCAAGGAACTCGTAGAAAAGGGTTGGATCCGGTCGAGTGTTTCTCCTTATGGGTCTCCAGTCCTATTTGTACCCAAGAAAAAGGAAGGAACACTTAGGATGTGCATTGACTATAGGGGCCTCAATGCCATCACTGTTAAGAACAGAGAGCCCCTACCGAGCATCGATGACTTGCTAGATAGAGTGCAAGGGTGTCGGTACTTCAGTAAGATAGATCTGAAGTCCGGGTACCATCAGATTGCAATCCGGCCCGAGGATCAACACAAAACGGCTTTTGAGACCAGGTACGGTCTGTACGAGTTTGTGGTGATGCCTTTCGGCCTTTGCAATGCGTCTGGCACCTTTCAACACGCTATGAATCAGGTATTTCATGACTACTTGGATAAGTTTGTCATCGTGTACCTCGATGATTTACTTATTTTTAGTAAGACTGTCGAGGAGCACGTTGCGCACTTGGACAAAGTCCTGAGTCTTCTGCGATAGCACAAGTTCAAGATCAACGGTGAGAAGTGTGAGTTTGGCCGCACCCGTGTCTTGTACTTGGGTCATGGGATTTCTGTGGAGGGATTGAAGCCCGATGACGCGAAGGTGGCCAGCATTCGTGACTGGCCGCGTCCTCAGTCTGTGACTGAGATGAGGTCTTTCTTAGGGATGACCGGCTACTATCGCAATTTCGTGAAGAAGTATAGCATAGTTGCTGCCCCTTTGACTGACCTGACTCGCCTTGACACCCCATGGGAGTGGACAGACAGATGCGAGGCTGCTTTCAGACATCTGAAGCATGCGTTGACGCATCACGAGGTCTTGAAACTTCCTGATCTTGACAAGCCATTTGTAGTAACTACGGATGCTAGCCAATATGCATAGGCGCCGTACTTGCGCAGCAGGAGGGGAAGAAGTTGAGGCCGGTAGAGTACATGTCCAAAAAGATGCCCTCTCAGAAGTTGGCTAAATCCACCTATGAGAAGGAACTCTATGCGATCTACAAGGCGCTCACCCATTGGAGACACTATCTCTTTGGGAGGTTCTTCTACGTCAGGACTGATCACCAGACCCTGAAGTGGATGAGAACCCAACCTGTGTTGTCTGATGCATTGAAGCGTTGGATTGAAGTCATAGAGCAACATTGAGCCCCAATACATTAAGGGCGAGTACAACAAGGTTGCTGATGCACTGTCGCGTAGACCAGATTTCTCTGGTGCGCTGATCACTGAGTTTGGGCTTGTGGACGATGTTACTCAGTCTATGGTGGAAGCCTATCCCGAGGACCGGTTTATGTCTGATATCATACGCAGACTCGAGGCGAAGGACAAAGGAACTTCTGCCGAGTTTGAGTTGGTCAACGGATTGCTGTTCCTTGAGAAGGCAGGGAATAAACGTCTGTGTGTGCCAGATAGGGAGTCTTTGCGTAGTTTATTTTTAGGCGAGTGTCATGATGCCACATGACATTTTGGTTTAAAAAAGACTGCAGCCAATTTGCTGCAGCGGTTCTAGTGGCTCACGATGATGAGAGATGCGAAGTTGTACGTGGAAACTTGTCAGGTCTGTCAGAGAGACGAGCCACGTACACAGGCTCCTCTTGGGCTTTTGAAGCCCCTTCCGATTTCGGAAAGGCCTGGTGAAAGCCTGTTCATAGACTACATGGATACGCTGGTCACCAGCAAGAGCGAGATGAGACACATCTTTGTTATCGTGGATAGGTTTAGTAAGTACGCTAGGTACGTTGCAATGCCGGAGATAGCGAAGACTGAGCATGTGATTAAGATGTTCAAAGAGAACTGGGTTAGAGATTTTGGATTGGCAAAGTCTATAGTCAGTGACCGTGATGTGCGTGCGATTCACAAATGAACTGTGGGAAGGCGCAGCTGCAGAATAGGGAACGCAGCTGCAGATGACGTCAGGAAACCATCCCGAGGCAAATGGACAAGCAGAACAGTTGAACCGCGTTGTACAACACCTGCCGAGGCATTACATCAAGCCAAATCAGGTAGACTGGGATGAGAAACTTGCTCTCATTACCAGCCTGTACAACAACGCGGTCCACAACGCAATGGGCGTGAGCCCGAGTAGTCTGCTATTAACCTTTAGACCTAGACTGCCTCTGGATTTCTTACTACCTGAGAATCAGCCCTCTGCTGCACCAGGGACTGTAGAGTTTGCTTATCGATATGAGCAACTGATGCAGCAGGTTGTTGAACAGATGCACAAGGCACAGGCGGCGATGATAGAGTCTGAGAACAAACACTGCCGCCCGTCCACGTTTCAGGTAGGATAGAGAGTCTGGGTCAAATCCTTAGAACTGGGACAGGAGCAGGGGATCTCCCGCAAGCTCATGCCACAATACTTTGGACCATGGGAGATTCTGGATGTTGTCGGGGAAGAACGGAATGGGCCCTCTTATGTTATTCGCACCCCTGGTCACTTACGTACTCACCCTGTTTTTCACTCTTCTAAGCTTGCACCATCCAAAGAAACTGATCAGTTTCCTTCTCGTCGCTCTATGCTGCCCCCAGCCATGGATGGAGAGGTCGACATCAACAACATCGTTGATCACCGAGAGATGCCAGTTCCAAGACCAACCGGCAGAGGACGACCTTCAAAATCGAAGCTGCAGTACCGAGTTCAGTTCAGACATAACACTGATCCCAGGGAGGACAGATGGTTGACAAGGGAGGAACTGATGCAGACCGCTCCACAGGTAGTTCACTATGAGAAGTCTCTACGGAAAGGCAAGCGCCAAATTATCGAAGACTGAACTTCTCAGTGGACTAGCGAAGTATGGAGGAGGGAATGTGAGGCAAAGGCCTCGATATGCCCTACTGGGCTCCTATTTGCAACAGAGTCGGCTGCACTAAGTGAAGGCAGGCCCGACGGACCCTAAGAGGCCTATTTTGGACTACTTTGCAACTGGAGAAAATGCAGGCAGTTGCGCAGCGCTAGTTGGTTGGAAGCTCCCAGACCCTGATTTCCTTTATCAAATGCATCTGAGTCAGGCCCTGGGCGAGATTCGCAGCATAGGTCCAACTTAGACTGTGGGTAGTTGGGCAGAAGTAACTGTCGGTGGCCCTGGGCCAATTCGTTTGGTCTGAGGCTCAACCTCCCTGGGCCTACCGGAAGCTTCTGGGCCGAGGCCCAACACAGCCAGGCTGCACGCATACAGGCTGGCCATTTCCATATAGGAAAGGGCCAGCCCACGCTTTGGGCATTCGGGTGCTGGCTGCATGTTTCGCAGAAGCTGGCTGGCACTCACGCGCTCACGGGCGAGCTGGAAGGAGTAGGCAGCCATAGCCAAGCTGCACTGCTATAGGATGGGTGTGGCGCATGATGGTCCTTGGGTGCATGTGGCATCTGTGTGTTGGGGAACGAGGTTGTGAGTGATGCGAGAGACATACCAGGTGCTGGAAGCGTGCGGCATTGGCTGCTATCTGCTCGTACTTCGGGAGAGTTGTTATCGTCATCTTCGGCATTGTAGTCTAGGCTAGATAGGATCTCCCAACTGTAGTCTGGGCGCTGAGTGCCAGATAGGATATCAACATTGGTTCTTGGTTGATGATGATGACGAGACTATTCCAGCATTGTCAATTATGAGCTTTTGGTGTACTCTTATTTGGTGAAACTCGTGATGCAATTTTGTTTTTGGTTCGACGTCACGACTGTCTGGTCTTATGTGTATGATGCTGTTTGAATGCTAATTGCTCATCTTCCTTGCACTTGTCCTACGAAAAAAACAACAACTCCCGGTTCTTCTCCGGCTGCTCCCGCTCCTCCTCCCGCTCCTTTTCTCTCGCTCCTTCTCTCCCGCTCCTTCTCTCCCACTCCACTCCAGCTGCTCCCGCTCCTCCTCCCGCTCCACCTTCGCCAAACAACTTGACAAAGATTCCGCCATAGCCATCTCCTACGAAAAAAAAAGAAAAAAGGCTCCTGCTCCTTCTCCCGCACCTCCTCTCGCTCCTCCTCGCTCTCCTCCTCCTCTGGCTCCTCCTCCCCCTCCTTCTCTCTCTATTCCTGCTCCTCCTCTCGCTCCTCGTCCACCAAACAACCAATTGTCCGCCATTGCACGCTCCTCCTCCTTCGGCTCCTTTTCCCACCGCTCCCACTCCTTGTCCCGCTCCGCCGCCAAATGACGTGACAAAGATCCTACCCGTCGGACAAGCTCCCCCGCTCCTCCTCCCGCTTCTCCTTCCCCGCTCCTCCTCCTCCTCCCGCTCCTCGCTCCCGCTGTCGAGTGCATCGGTCCGGCACCTCAAGAGGCAGAGCGGGACCCTCCCGGCCGCGTCACACAGGAGTTAGTTTTAAATCCTTCGCCGCAAATATACATGGAGCTTCCGCAAGCCGCTCCGGTCGAGTGCGCCAGCCATACCTCCCGCGAGCCCCTACGACAGGATAGGGCCTACGTGAGGCACGACTTACCTCCACCTTATGGGAGCTGTCACCTCCCTTCGGTGGGTGTATTCCCGCCTAGCTACCAGTCCACAGTACGAAAGCTGATCAGTTGCAATCGCAGAGGTGGACCAGCCGAGGGCATTTCTCGTTCGCTGTAGCATAGGGGGCACGCGCGGTAATACGCCTCTATCGGACCCGCACACGAACCGACGTCTTGGGGGGGGCTGAGGTCCGTAGCGTGGGCCGTCGTCGGTCGACTAGGACGCATCCCACGCACCACACGCACACCACTTTACGAACGCAAAAATAAAACACACACACACACACACGAAAACGACGCAACACAACCAACGCGACAACGCTCCTAGTCCCGAGGTAGCCATCCCATAACTTCCCGATGCGGAAATCGGATAGGCGTCGCGCGTGAGACTTAGTATAAAACCGCGCGGACGCAGGGCCTACTCATATCGGCCAGCAAATGCAAACGTGCGCAAGCGGTCGCAATGATGGCGTACTGTGTAGTACCCATACCCATGCGGTCCTCGTTAATCTCGCGGGTCGCATTCGATACTCAAGTGTCCGCTGACGCGCGCCTTGAGGGTTAATCTCTCGACGCTGGACAATCGCCATGCGCGGTTGAAGACCACACACCCTCTTCTGCACCCTGTGTAGAGCGGGTGGTACACAGGTCCGTCCCTGTGGTGGCGGTCGTTCCTTGCTGCCCTGGAGATGAGCCTCACTCCGGGCCTGAACAGAAGTCAAGGGGTATGACTTTGACGGCTTCCACGGACTACAACGTCCAACTATAAAAATCTCTACAAAGCAAAGGACAAAAGAGGGTCTTCCTTTTCTCTCAAGCCATAACCTGGTTAACCCTTGCGCACGATCACAGTAAGTCGTGCGTATACCCAAGGCACATATAAATATATACATAAGGCTTATTTATATAGGACGATCACTCCTCACAGTCACAGTGGGACTCCTCTCCACCATATATGTATGTAATCGCAGGCAGTCACGTCTTGAGTCCGAACCACAACCATACCTGCAGTCACATCAAAGATCCAACAAGGTTCACACACTACACGGGGTCAACTTCAACCATTCTCTATGCTCATACCCCTTGCGTTAGCCATACAAACCTCACTCTTGTGCAACTCCCCAAAATAAATACTCAGTACTTTTGTTAAATGGCCATTCAATAAAGTCCGGGTGAAAACACAATGAAACAATTCAAACCACATGACTAAAGCCTTTAGGTTGAGTGGCAAGAACGGATTGGAGTTGAATCGTAGACCGACGAATCGGCAACCGACCTGTTATCAGTGATAACACAAGATGATCCTTGTAGGATCAGGCTGAAGCTAATCCAAGTCCTGAATCGAAGTCCAATGAAAGTCTGTACTATAAGACAGGTCAACCCCCAAGCTAGGTCGTCAGCGCATGGGGGATGAACCTCCATAACACCTTCCCACTCTAGGCTATCTGCCAACTAAATCCAAGTCTACCCCTAAGCCAGTGCCCAAAGCAAAGGTAGACTAACGGGAGGATCTCCCCCATTCAGGGTGGATCGCCAGAATCGCCACCTATCGAAATATACTCTAACCCCTCTAAATCAAGAAAATTTCGGCAGCGCTTCCCGTAGGAAAAGTGTCTTTCCATAATTTATATCAGGCCGAATATGAAAACAGAAATAATCTTTGACTTTTCAAAGTTCAATTTGTGTATAACTCCCTGAATTAGCAAAAATTTGGGCAGCACTCCCTTTAGAAAAGGAGACTTCCCATATTTTTACTAAGCCATATATGGACTTTAGACAAGTTGAACTTTGAAAAGCCAAAATTTGACTAACTCCTTGGATCTGCAGAAATTTTGGCAGCGCTTCCCGTAGAGAAAGTAGCTTATCAAAATTTATACAAAGCCAAGTATAATAACAGATCCCAGAAAATGCGAGAATGAATCTAAGTAAAATAAACTTAGCCCAGAAAATGCAGGAATTGAAACTAACTCCTATCGCTCTAGCACATGGCGAGCAATTACAACAACTACCTATCAAACTTAAACTCAGACCAAGTAGTAGCCTCACTCAGTCACATGCAAGCCAAACCACAAAGGTAAGTACTCTCACCGTCCCAAAGTCAACTCTGCAAACAATAGTTCATAGTCTTTCAATGCTTTGCCCCGTTATACCCAGCTTACATAAGGCGTAAAGTCAGGCCATCCAATCTTATGGAACATGCCTGACTCAGCCATCAAGTATACACGAACATGATGCACAATTACTTTTCTCTTCCTTTGGGCACATGACTAAGCCATTCATCTTAGAAACAATGCTTAGTCGCCCTGAACTGTTTAACATCCAAGTAATGTATATCTCTCTTAACTTAGTGTTAAAAAGTTGAGCGCAGGACCGAGCCATTCATCTTAGAAACAAAGCTCAGTCT